AAAAAAAAAAAAAAAAAGAAAGAAAGAAAGAAAACCACCCGGAAAGAACCATGCCAATGAGGTGAACAGGTTTCTTCCTGGTGATGGGATTGTGGGTGACTTGTTTAATATCTCTAGTTGTCTATAGTAAGCATGTCGATTATATAAGGGACAGAAGTAAGGAGTCAAGCATTCAAACCCCCAGTGTCCCCCACCTCGGCCCTCCCACTCCTTTTCCTCTTGTAATGGTTTGCTGTAGGTACCCCTAGATTTTTTTTTTTTTTTTTGTAGAGATGAGGTCTTACTATGTTGCCCAGGCTGGTCTCGAACCCGTGGGCTCAGGCAATCCACTCACCTCAGCCTCCCAAAGGCGGGGATTACAGGCTGAGCCACCGAGCCCGGCTACTCCTAGATCTTTTCTTTGGATCTGCCCCCTATTGTTTTTGAAGCTTACATGTCCAGTCAAAAGAATAATATGGTAAGGGGAGAAAAAGTAACACTCAGCCAGATGCAATGACTCACACCTGTAATCCCAGCACTTTGGGAGGTGGAGGTGAGAGGAATGCCTGAGCCCAAGGGTTGGAGACCAGCCTGGGCAACTCGGTGAGACCTCGTCTCTACAGAAATAAAAAAATTAGCTGGGTGGGGTGGCACACACCTGTAGTTCCAGGTACTTGGAAGGCTGAGGTGGAAGGATTGCCTGAGCCCAGTAGCTCAAGGCTGTGGTGGCTGTGAGCATGCCACTGCACTCCAGCCTAGGAGACAGTAAGACTCTAACTCAAAAAAAAAAAAAAAAAGAACCACGATGTCATGGAAAATTAGGAGTTTAGATTTTTTTTACAAAGCAAGTCTTTTTTTTTTTTTTTTCAGGCAATCTTCTCATCTTGGCCTCCCAAAGTGCTAGGAGCAAGTCTTTCTTTGTAGACAAGAAAGCTGGGCTCTGTCAGGGAGATTGGAAGACCTGTCAAGCTTCTGGCTGTGTTTGTTTTGGGGAAGGTGGGGCAGAGCTGGGGCTGCCTCCTTTCTGGCTCTGGGAGCACAGAGGACCGAAATGGAGGCCAGGAGGATGCTCTAGGCTGGGTGGGGTAGTACAGGCTGTAGAGACTTCTGCCCCATTCATTCTGAGTGCTAAGAGATGCTGGCAGGAGAAACCCCAGTAGAAGGGGCCAAAGTCCTTCCTCATTTATGGCCTTGGGGAGTTAATGTGTAATAGTCTAGGATATAAACTTGACCAGGAGGTGAGAACCTGAGCACAGGCCTGCGAGGAGCCACTGGGAGCTGCCCCAGGAGCTGTCGCCATGTCGGTGAGGATGCCATCTCTCTGTCCATCTGTGTCTTTGCCTGGGTGGGGGGCTTTTGGGGAAAAGCATCACTACCCCTCTCTGGATCCCAGTTTCCCCATCTGTATAGCAAGGAAGTTAGACAGATGGTCTCTGCAGCCCTTTAGCATCAAGGTTCTCTGTCCCCTCCTCCACCATCCTGCTGAGAGAGCCTGAGCCTGTTTCTTTCCCTCTCTTGCTTCAGTTTTCTCAACAGTAAAAATACTGGCAATAATAATAACTATTAACATCTATTGAACTTTACAAAGATGAAGAATCTGAGACTCAGAGATTATATTGCCCAAGGTCACAATCTAAATTGCAGGGAGTCGAGTGGACAACCTTTGAGGTCTCTGATCCATGGATTCTACACCTGACACTTGACATCTGACCAAAGATTGCTGTGTGGCCTTGGACAAGTCACTGCCCCTCTCTGAGCCCCAGTCTCTCCCACATCTGTGGAATGGGATCACAGGGGCAGCATCTGAGGATTACATGGTGTCTCAGTTTCTTAGGGCTGCTGTTACAAATTACCACAAAATGAGCGGCTTAAAACACCAGATTATCTCTCAGTGCCGGAGTCTAGACGTCTGAAACCAAGGCGTGGTCAGGGCTGTGCTTGCTCTGAAGGTTCGGGAGGAGGACATTGTCTTGCCTCTCCCAGCTTCTGGTGATTCCTGGTGTCCCTTGGCCATGGCAGCATCACTCCAGCACCTGTCTTGCTCTTCATATGGCCTTCTCCTCGTCTGCTGTCCCTGTCCAAATTTCCTTCCTCTTTTAAGGACTTTGGTCACATTGGATCTAAGCCCATCCTAAACCAGTATGAGCACATCTTAATGTGACAACATCTGCAAAGACTCTATTTTCATTTTTATTTTTTTGTGGGTTGGAGTCTCACTCTATCGCCCAGGCTGGAGTGCCGCGGCACACTCATGGCCATCCCAGCCTTGACCTACTGGGCTCCGGCAATCCTTCCGCCACAGCCTTCCAGGTAGCCGGAACTACAGGCATGTGCTACCATGCCTGGGTAATATTTGATGTACTGTAGAGACGAGGTCTCACCAAGTTGTCCGAGCTGGTCTCGAACCCGCGGTCTCAGGCAATCCACTCGCCTTAGGCTCCCAAAGTGCTGGGATTACAGGCTGAGCCCCTGAGTCCGGCCAAGACCCTATTTTTAAACATATCACCTTCACAGGTTCCGGCTGGACATGAAGCTTAGGGGCACACTATGCAAGCCATCACAGGTGGGATGGAGGACATGAGCGTGAGGAGGCTCCTGTGTGGGAGGGCATGTGTAGACCTCCCCCACCTTCCTCTGGTCAGTCCGCCCTTTCTTTTCTTTCCTCCTTCCCCCTCTCCAGGGGTCACCCATTCCAAATCCCTCCTATTACAGGTGAGGGAGCCAAGGCCCTAGGTCCTTCAGTCATGTAGGAGCAGAGCCAGGATAGACCCTGGGTACCCCTGACTCCCAGACTCCACCCCCTAGCTCTGTGAACCCCATTGTGCCGGCCCTGCCTCCCTGAATCTCTCTGGGCCTGAGACTCCACGGATGGGGACAAGGCTCCCGGCCTGCACGTTCCCACAGGCCTCAGCAACCATTTGTCCAAGTGCACCCCTGACCCTGGCCTTCCAGCAGCCCCACCCCCGTCGTTGGGGGCTTGGTTTCTTCCTTTCACCCAAGCAGCCCCCAGGAGCTGCAAGGTGAGTGGGAGTGACTCTCCCTCCCTGCCCTTACCATCCCAGGTCCTGGGGACGAGCGGGCTTCTGGGAGGAGGCAGGGAGCCTTCTCCTGCCTCCTCCCAGAAGAGGTGTTAGACATGTGCGTGTGCAGAGCACACAGGTGTGAGCGCCGGCCACGTGGCGGTGCACCTGTGTCCACACTCTTATTTGAGCCCCTTTGGGAGGGACTGTGATAATCCTCACTGGATAACCTTAGCTGGCAGAGGTAATGTTCTTTGTCTGTCCACGAGAGCCTGAAGGAGAATTTTAATCCAGTCTGTCGGGCTCTGAAATCAGGATCCAGCTGTTACACGAAGCGCAGACCCAAGGGGTTAGACCTCCAGCCTCCAAATTCCACTTTCTCTAAAGCAGGAAGATTTTGCCCCTGGGGACATTTGGCTCTGTCTGGAGACATTTTTGGTTGTCACGGCTGGGGGGTGGCGGCTGCTGGCCTCTAGCAAGGCGAGGCCACAGCCACTGCTCAGCATGCTACAATGCACAGGGCAGCCCGCCCACACAGGATGATCCGCCCAGTGTTGCCAGAGCCACAGCTGGGGAGCCCTGCTCCACGTCTGACCTGCTGCGGGGCCCCCTCGCCTCTCCCCTGCCTTCTCTGTAACTTATGTGGCCTCCAGGAGAACTGGGCAACGTCTCACAACCCCACCCCTGCGCGTGAACTCACAGGGCGCTTCCTTCTTCGCAGAGAAGAGGCGGCCGCCCATGGGAGAGTATTGGCCCTCCTCCCCTGGCCATCCCCCAAATCCTGCGAGTTGGTTCAGGGCTTCTCAGGGTATGTTCTCTCCAAAGAAGCATGCCAGTGAACAGAAAGCCCACACTGCAAGGGTTCTCCTACACGTTATTCTCATTCTTTGGTGCCTGTTGCACCCTGTCCGGCCCGACCCTCCCCCCTGGGTCACGGGTATGAAAGCTGGACATTTTCTCAGTCTTAGGTAATGAGTTCCAAGACCCTCCCTGGTAACCACAGTTATGGAGATGGAGGAAGCTTCTGCTTCCCGGAAGTTCAGGTGCTGCTTTTCTAGGGAAGAATAAGGAGCAGATGTGTAATGATAAGTAACCACACGGCAGTCGCCTCCTAACTTGCCTTTAGTCTGTGCCAGGCGCCATGCTTGGGGCTTCACAATTATGGTCTCGGATCCTCTCCCAACCAGCTGGAAGGCGGGAGCTCAGGCCTCCAGGAGTACCTGTCACACGGTGGGCACTCAGCCACTATTTTTTTTTTTTGAGTCGGAGTCTCACTGTGTCACTCAGACTGGAGTGCAGTGGCTGCTCCCCGGCCACCGCAGCCTCGACCTGCTGGGCTCCGGCGATCCCTCCGCTCAGCCTTCCACGTAGCTGGAACTACGCCACTACGCCTGGCTAATTTTTTGATTTAGTGTAGAGATGAGGTCTTGCCAAGTTGCCCGGGCAGGTCTCGAACCTGTGGGCTCAGGCAGTCCATTCACCTCAGGCTCCCAAAGCGCGGGATTACAGGCTGAGCCACCGAGCCCGGCTAGCAACTGTTTTAAAACTTAGAAACAAGCCATTGCTTTGTTAAACTCTGGTGTGTACACGTGGCTCTTTGAGTTACAGCTGCCATGTTCCGTAGCTTTGGCCCTCTCCCCTACTTTGGGGAGGTAAATCTCCTCTCTCTAATTTACTTTCTAAATAAAGTGTATTTTCCAATTTTAAAAAAACCAAAACTTAGAAACAGGGTCTTAATATGTTGTTCAGACTGGCCTCCAACTCCTGAGCTCAAGGCATCCTTCCGTCTCAGCTTCCCAGTAGCTGGGAATATTGGTGCACACCACCGTGCCCAGCCTAACAACTATTTTTTAATGAATAAATCAAATGAGTCCATTTTACAGAAGGAGGAAGTGAGGTTTTTTGAAGGACTCTGTTCATTGTTTAAATTTGAGACTTAAGAAGTTTTACAGATTCTTAGTTGGGAATGGGCCAAGACCTGCATGCCTCTGATAGTCATTTCCGATATCGTGTCTTTGCTTCTGGGTTTCTGCTAAGGGCAGTGTGACTGTCACTTGAACACTTTGGGGAACTGCAACGTTGGCAGGAAGCACTCTGCCCCCCCCACTTTTGAGTTGGAGTCTCACTCTGTCACCCAGGCTGGAGTGCAGTGGCATGCTCACAGCCACCACAGCCTCGACCTGCTGGGCTCAGGCGATCCTTCCACCTCAGCCTTCCAGTAGCTGAAACGACAGACATGCACCACCATGCCCAGCTGATTTTTTGACTTATTGTAGAGAGAGGTCTCACCATGTTTCCAGGCTGGTCACCAACCCGTGGGTTCAGGCAATTCTCTCACCTTCACCTCCCAAAGTGCTGGGTTTATAGGCATGAGCCAACATGCCCAGCTTCACTCTGCCCATTTTGTAGCAGGGGTGCCAAAAAATGTATACACATTTTAAGCAGCGTATTGCTTTTTGAAGTTGAATTGAATTATGGTAGCAATGTGTGGTATGACGTTTGCTCTAAAGATGATGTTAATCAAATGAATGCTAGCATCACCATGCAACAGGTAGGGTAGTGAAAGAAAATGACAGAAGCACAGCTATCATTTGAGGAGCGCGAGATCATTTTGAAGTGGTATTTGAAATTCGAAGCTTGGTGGCTCAGTCTGTAATCCCACGCCTTGGGAGGCTGAGGTGAGTGGATTGCCTGAGCCTGCAGGTT